AGGGGGGCAGCCAGTGTTCTGGGATGCCCAGCCCGGTTGCTGTTCTAGGCACCAGCAACATGGCACCGTCACAGAGAGAGGGCATTCTGTGCTACATCGCTTGGTCCCCCGTTCCTGCCCGTGTGCAAGGACCTGGATCTTGGAGCGATGGGATCCGGGGTTGGGAGGGAGGTATCAGCAGAGGTTCAGAGAGGAGCAAGCCCAAGGAAGAGAATGGCAGTGTCACCCTGGCAACAGGCCCATCCCCAAAGGCCTCGTCTGTGCTGACACTCGGAGACGGATGGACAAGGTGGGGTGGTTGCCCTCAAAGCTGCCGGTCCCCTGACCCTTTGTGCGTAAATGGTGCTCAAGTGTTATCGTGATCTCTGGGCTGATGGTGCAGCCACGTCTGCCCTTTGAATGGTGAGGTCTGGCAGGGTGGGACGTTTCTGATTGTTTCCTCCAAAGAGCCCGGCACGGTGCCTGGCACACAGGGGATTGTCAGGAAGTGCTGAATGAATGGATGGATGAGCGGATGTTTGCTTGGGCAAGTGTGAGGATCCTGAAGGAAGCAAGGAGTCAAAGGAGTGAGGGGTGTGTAAAGGGCAGGTAGAAGGGCTTAGGATTCACTGAGCCAGAATTCGTAGGTTTGCGTTACGTGCAAAACATTGGGTTGGGGTTAGATATGGGTCTCTGGAGGTCCCAGACCGCGGCGGAGGGTGGTGAGACAGGGACCCAGATCATCCATCATGAGATGGAGTGGAATTAGCCCTTCACGGCGACTACGAAGTGTGGGGGATTGGGAGCGGCAAGGATGGGGTGACATTTGACATCAGGCTCTATGGGGGAAACTTATCCCCTGGCTTGTGCCTTGAAGGGCAGAGAGCAGGGTCTGCCCTGGTGCCTCAGGAGTGACCTGTGGTCTGAATCTTTCTACCCCGAGTGTCCCCTCTCTCCCCAAGGATAGATGCTGTGCATTGGGCCTGCACGCTTTGTTGCTTGGTCTGTTCGTTCATTTATTCATTCATTTCCACATTCAGCCATTTATCCATTTGCTTGCACCTTTCTTCATTCATTCAGCAAATATTTATTGAACACATCCCCTGGGCCCAGCTCAGTGCCAGTGCTGGGGACACACCACTGAAGCCAATGGGCATGGCCTCCATGCACAGGGAGCTTGTGGGCAGGTATACAAACAGACCCAACCCCAGTATTAAAAGCCATCGTGAGGGGGCAAGATGGACAGACAGGAGGGTTTCTGGCCCTGGGTATCAAGGAGGGCCTCCTGGACGAGGTGGCATTTAATCTTCACCAGATGACAAGGCATAGGGAGTAAGTGGGGATGGCAGGGAGAGTGTCCCAGACAGAGGGAATGATATGCACAGAGGGCACCAAGCGTCCTCATCTGCTCCCTGAAAGTAGAGGGTCCTCTTTCCAAACACTAATAGGCTTAAACACGATGAGCCACAGGGTTCTCCCTCCTTACGCACGTGTGAGCTGGGAAGTCTGTCTTCGCTCGCCCTTCTTTCCTAACCGTGCTTGGAGACTCCATCTCTGTCCCTGGAGTCCATCTGCGTGAAGTAGCAACACCCACTGCTGGGACAGCAGCTCCCCGCAGCCCCGTGTCTGTGAGCTTGGCCGACCTGCAGCCTAGCCCCACGGCAGACGCCACGGCTGCCGTGGTCAGGAGCTGGTGGCCTAGTCTTCCCTCCCCTCCCGAGAGTCTGGCCCAGCAGAGGGCCAGGCTAGGGCAGCCTGGTGACCCGCACAGGAACGGGAGCTATGGAACCAGGGACCCCAAGAGCCAAAAGAGACTGAAGCCCCAGCCCGGCCCTGGCCGGGCCCCGTCCGTTGGCCCGTGCCTGGCAGTTGCAGGCAACAGCGACTCCCCGGGTGTGACTGGGTTTTTTTTGCTCGGTAATGATTGTGTGTACTTAGGAGATGATGTGTATCTGAGCTTATGTCTTCGACAGGTGCCCCTGTGAACGAATCTCCGTGGGCTGACTTCTATGAATATTTCACAATCAGGCCCTCTTTGATCACTCTTGCATATGTGCATTCTACATTATATTTAGTTTTGCACCGAATCAAATCTGAGGCTTCTGTGAAATGAAAATAAAGTGTTCGACACGATATCCTAGCTCAGAAGTGCTCAGAGGTAAAATGGCTTTCATCAGGGGTGAAGGGGCGGCGAGGGGTAGCTGGGTGCCTGCCCTGCGTTTGCTGCTGCCCCTCTGGGAGCGAGGGGCTGCCGGGAATCCTGTGGGTGCTGGGTCCCCCCGTTTTGTTCTAGGGCAGCGGCTGCGTGCTGAGCCTGAGCAGGGAGCCGAGGCGGGTTAATAGGGGATTAAATACCTAACTTCCTGCCATGGCGAAGTCTGTTTAAAAAGAGAAAGAAAGCCAGTGAGAGAGAAATAATCAATGCACTTCATGACAACTGCTGGTATCTTTTTCAGTTTTGCGATATTTTAAAGGTGGGTCATTCATTAAAAGCCCATATATATATATAGTTTTTGTCGCTTCCCCTGACAGGGTGGACACAGTTCAGATAAATCGATTACAGCAAATTAGGGGGCCATTTCCTTCCCAAATCATCCCATCTGGGAACAAAGGAAGCACCACTTGATGGCCTGCATTCTGGGGGGAGAGGCCTGGTTTGTGCATTCTTATGACGCTCTGGGCTACCTCCCTCGCCTGCACTGTGATCATCAGAAGCTTAAAGGACCAGTTTTTGGTGGCACTCGGTCCTCCAGATGCTACAGACAAGGGTCATTGGACCCCTCCGCAGAGGAGAAGAAGAAACGTGACTTCCTTATTTACGTGCATTGAGGTGCATTATGAACATGTCCTAACTGTTCCAGAGAAATTGCACGGGAACCCTGGGGACTGCATATCATCTCTAGCCTGGGGCAGATCCGGGAAGGCTTCCTGGAATAGGCAATGCCTGGACGGAGCATGAAGGATGAATTTGGGCTGCTGCATTTGGAGAGGTGGGGGTGGACTGCCAGGAGATTTGCAGGGTGGCCCTTCTTTCTTTCACTTTTTTGCTGTTACAAAGAAGAGGGGAAATTGGTGTCTTCTCCAAACTCTGAGCAGCCTTTTCTCTCAGGCACAGGGAGCCCTCCCTGACCACGATGAGGACTTTAGCCCTCAGATGTTTGGTTTGTGGTTCAGGAGTTTATTTTCACCCTCTCTTTCCCCCCATCTCCTCTGACCCAAAGTACTAGAAAACTACTAATGTGGTGCAGTGGTAGTTGAGGCATCTGTGTTATACTATGACTCTGGCAGGAGCTTCCCCAGTGTTGCCCCACATGTAAGCTCCACACTCCACAGACTGGCATTCAGGTCTGCGCCTGGCCCTCCCCTTCCATCCCATCCTCCATCGTCCCCCAAGAACATTCCATGCTCACTCCCCATTTTGCACATTCTGTTCCCTCTGTCCTACATGCCCTTTCGCCTTTCTGTGCCTAGCGACCTCTTCCAGCCTCAGCCAAGGACTGACCTCTTCCCAGTTGTTATCCTCACTGGTTTCCCTTCCCTTGTCCCCACTGCCCATCCCTGCCTTGCAGCATGTTGGAGATTTCCCCCTTTCAGCACTTCCGTCCAGTGGGTCTCTCTCCCCTTCCCTGAGTCAACTTTCAAAGGCAATGATCTGGTCTTGCTTGTAGCTGCCCCACTTCTCGCCCCATATAAGCACTGAGAGATGTTGCTGAATGAGGAGTCCCACTTGACGATGCACAGTAAAGTTGGCAATGAATGCGGTTTTATTAACCGTGTTTACAGGCCTTGGTTGTGCCTTGGTTGTGTTCTTTGCCTCTCAGTATTTATTCTACTCCCAGATTAAAGATCTTTCTAGATCTGAAAGCCTGGGCTAACGCCATGGTTAGCACCTGAGAAAGGTTCCTGTACAGCCTTTTACAAGTTATGTGCCGTGTTGTCTCTCCCACAATCCCATTTGCCTTCTCAAAACCCTGCGAAGTATGCAGGTCGGTCTATATCAGCTCATTTTGGAGACGAAGCTGAGACTCGGGCGGGTAACCAGGGTCCAACAACTGTGGAAGAGCTACATTTGGATGTATGTTCATAGCACTTCAGGTACCATTCTCTTTCCACTGCTCCAGTCAGGTTGGGGGAATAACCCACCTGACCCAGGGCAGGGGAACGTGGAATAATATATCCATCTTATGAATGTGAAGACAATAAGATAATATAAATAAATATTTGTGTGACACCCTCCCCCACTGGTGAGTAAGAGACTTGCCACATTTCTGTATCCACAGTGCCTTTCCCCACCTTCTCCCCACCCCCACCCACACTAGCCCCCTGTGTTGCTTTCTGTGGAATGTACTGCATGTTTCCATTTCTTGGCACACATGTTTGTGAGGACTCTGGCTCCTTAGCCTCCTTTAAGCTTTCCCTGAAATGTGGTTTCCTTTGTTTCTACACATTTTAAAAATGAAGGAGCTGGCATCTGTCAGCATTCAGCCCAGCAAGACTAACATGGTATGGACATCAGAAGCCAGCCTTCCCACCCGCATGTCTTGCTTGAACTCTAGAGTCAGGCTCCCCAGTTGTGTGACCTTCTTGGACTTAAGTTTTCTGAGCTTCAGTTTCTTCTTTTTAGTGTGGGAATAGTTTACTACCTACCATTCTAAGGTTGTATGAGGCTAAATGAGAGAATGATTGTGAAGTACCTAGCACAGTGTTGGCACGTGGTATTGTGTTGAGGAGGAGGACGATGATGATGAAAAGGAAGAGGGTGAGAAGAATGCTGTTGCTGATGTAGATGATGATGGTGGTGATGGCTACAATGAAGATGGTGGCAGTGGTGGTGATGGTGAAGGTGATAATGGTGACTACGATCGTGATGGTGAAGTGATAGTGATGGCTATGATAAAAATGATGATGGTGTTGGTGATGGTGAAGGAGATGATAACAGTGGTGATGATGGTGATGGTGAAGATGAAAACAGTGTTGACGGTGGTGGTGAAGGTGATGATGATGTGATGACTCTGGTGACAATGGTGAACATGATGGTGACGGCCATGGTGAAGATAACAGTGGTGACGATGGTGATGATGAAGCTGATGACAGCGGTAACAGTGGTGACAACAGTGAAAGTGATGATGGTGATGGCTATAATGAGGATGATGACAGTGGTGATGACGTTGATGAAGGTGATGACAAATGATGACAGTGGTGACGATGGTGATGGTGGAGGTGATGCTGCTGCTGCTGATGACAGTGGTGATGTTGGTGACAGTGATGATGGTGGCGGTGAAGATGTAGACGATGGTGACAATGGTGGTGGTGATGATGACGGTGATGGTGATGATGATAACAGTGGTGACAATGGTGATGATGATGGTGATGATGATGGTGGTGACGATGATGATGGTGAAGATGATGATGGTGATGATGACAGTGGTGACATTGGTGGTGGTGATGGTGATGATGACAGTGGTGACAATGGTGATGATCATGGTCATGATGACGGTGGTGATGATGATGATAACAGTGGTGACAATGGTGATGATGATGGTCATGACGATGGTGGTGATGATGATGATGGTGATGATGACAATGGTGATGATGGTGATGGTGAAGATGAAGACAGTTGTGACAATGATGAAGGGGATGGTGGTGGTGATGATGAGAGTGGTGATGTCGTCGGTGGTAAAGGTGATGATGATGGTGATGATGACAGTTGTGATGATGGTAGTGGTGAAGATGAAGACTATGGTGACAATAGTGAAGGTGATGGTGATGATGACAGTGGTGACAGTGGTGGTGATGATGAAAATGGTGATGATGAAAAGGAAGGTAATGATGGTAATATGATAACAGTTATTTGTTTTTTGTGTTATTTTTTGAGAGCTTGTTCTGCCTGATGCATCCATGGTCTTAACAATCACCACACATGAAGTTGTTGGAGTTCCATCCCAGCATCTGTTTGCCTGGCTTCATGTGCCGTGGGCAGATGGAGAGCCAGGAACTCAGACCAGAAGTCTTCTCTACCCTGAAAAGATGACCAGGAGCACGCTTTGTGGGTGTTTTCCTTTCCCGTCTGACATGCTCATGACCTGTCTTCAATTCTGGGCTACAGTTTCAACCCAGACTCCAAAAGCCAAGATGCTTTTGCCCTTGAGAATTTTGAAATCATCCAAAGTCTTCAAAAAGAGGATATTTTTTTTTTCCAGTTTCTTCTTCTAAGTCCTCCAACCGCCATCCCCCAGTACGAAACTGGCTGGGGCTCCATGGGGCTGTGTGCAAAGCTGGTCCAGTGGGGTCCTGCTCACCATCCAATGCCATGAGGGCCCTGACTTTGGCCAATGTTCCATCCACAAGGGGAGGTTGTGGCATTCAACCATACTCTCCAGCTTGACTCTCCTGGTCACACAGTCGCCATACTCCACAGCTCTATTTGCATATCATATTTTCATTAATAAATTAAATAAGGATTTAACTATTTCTGGCCCTGTCTCATAGCATTGTCTACACATCAGTCAGAATGGAACAGGTCACTCGAACTGCCCTCCTGTTTATCTATTAATCATCTGGCAAATAAACCACTCAGTATCCTGCCCACCTCAGTAATGTTTGTGATGTAATTTGTTTGGATGCCCAAATGTCACCAGCGTTGATTGTAAGAGATGAAAAAATGTACTTGCTCAGCATAGCAAGCTCTAGGCCAAAATGTAAGCATGAAATCTCTGGTTTATTTTTGTAATAATGTTTACAGCTGTTTAATGACCCTGAAAAGGTTCAGTAGTCTGGTGTTCTGTATTTTCAGAACAGGAGTGTATTATGCTTATAACAACCTTGGTTAAGCAGTTTGAGCTACAACAATTGGAAAATAGTATTTAATAAGAAGCCATTGCATTCTAGGTGAAGTCGTCTTAATTACTGCTTACCCTAGGTGTAAGAAAGCAAGGTGGGTTGTTGGGGAAGGGGCAGAAGGTCATCTGAGCCCCCCCAGGAAGGGGGTCCACCTAATACCAGAACTGCAGGCTGTGAGGCCCACAGTGGTGTTTGGGGCCCTTGCTGGGAACCCACATCCCTCCCCTGCCCAGCAGTTGGGAGCTGTAGGACTCCTGTACGTTTTCCGAGGCAGCACTTTTACCCACATTGATAAAAAAGGGAATATTTAGTTGTGCTTGGCTAGACAACAATATTTGATTTTTAAAAACCCAGTTGAAATGGTTATTTTGAAAGTCATTTCATTTCCCAACTATTCTTTTTCATGGTATAAGGATAAAACTCGTTCATGCAACTTACTGGCAAGATCTATATTTTTTGGACTATTCATAAGATTACTTTCTTTTTTCTGTGCTAGCAAAATGAAACTGTGTTTTTGTGTAAAATTTATTTAGACTCGTAGCAGCTGGCATTTCTGGTGTCCTGATAGTTTTAAATTTCATTTTGAGTGAAAGATACAATTAGGTTCTCTATTGGAAGAGTTAAGTGAAAACTTTTGTCATTGATATCACAGGAAATAGTTTTGAAGGCAGAAATACAAAATCAAAATAACCATTAGCACCATCAAAGGCAGCTGAATGGCTCACTGTACCTGCAATGATGGGAATGATGAGACAGAATTATTTTGATAATCTGTGCACCCAATGGCAGGTTTCCTGTGCTGCGAATACCCTTGTATGAAATATACAATTGCACAGCTCAAGAAGAAAACCTCTAGCCTTCAGAAGCTTTCAACTGGGGCCTTGCCTGTGCTCAGATGTGAGGCCCAGACATTTCCACGCTGTGGTGAGGAATGCCATGGTGGCTGGGGCTCACGTGCATGCCTGCGTCTTCGTCAATATTGACAGTTGTCTTGAGGACCAGCAGTGCCCCACCATGACCCTGGGGATCAGGAAAGATCAGGACTCAGTGGAATGTTGGAGTGTTTCCATGTTGGGGGGGGGGGTGGCGTACCAGATTCAGCAGTTTACAGTGGCCTCTAACTGTCCAGCCTTGACTGCCTTTCCACAGTTAGGTAAATTACGTATGCATTGGTTCCTTCCATCAGTCAACCAGGGTTTATTGATCTTCTTCCTGATATGCCTTGGGCTGGGCCCTGAGCTGAAGGCCAGGGGCAAGCTATTCTCAGTGTTCAGTAGTTTGTTTACTTGTTTTTAATTGTGCTGAGTGTTTTCCCACCTCGGTGGGAGGGGCAGGCAAGTTACTGTGTAGGTTCCTTAGAAGGTCCCAGCTCCCCACTTGCCTTAAGCCCAGGATCGTGGCCAACCCTGCACTGGCTACTGGCTTCTTCAGTGGGTTCCTCAGCTGCTGGACTGTGGGGTAATGAGTCCAGAGCTGGGGCCAGGGTGAGAAGGATGGGTTGGGCACATGCGATAAAACACTCCCTGGAATTCGTGACCATGCAGGGGCAGTGCTGCGTGTGGATGTTCATGTGCCCAAGTTATCAGGACAGAGGGAGTATCCTGTGGCAGGAGGCCCTGCCAGGGACACTGACAGCCATTCACTGCAGGGCCTGTGAGGGAGCAGTGCGGTTCCAAAGGGAAGGCACTCTCCCTATGCTTGCTCCCTGAGGGCTGGGGAAAAGGAGTAATGACTGCCTCCTTCCACCTGAATGGTGAGACCCTGCAGGCAACCTCCCCTCCCTGGGCCCTGTGAGCTCTTAGGGCTGCAGTAGGATCCAATCCCTTAACAGTAGGATAAATGATCCCTGAGTTTCCCAAGATATGCATCTGTATAAGTTTCCAGAGTGATACTACTAGGGAATCCCTGCCTCTCCCCCAACGTAGACTTACTCGTGCACACACATGTATCCACGCATGCACGCGCACACACACCCCTATATGCCAAAGCGGCAGTGGTTACTCCTTTCCTTAAACCTTCAGTACAGTCTCTCTGGGGCATTTTCATTGCTTCCCATCAATTGGTAACCTTGCCGATGCTGACCCCCTGGGTCCCAGAGATCCTTGAGGGCAGGTACTAGAAGGCCCCTGGCAAGTATTGACTGAATGACTGACATAAGGGGTAAATGAATTCTGGAAGGGTGAAGTGTCAAGGCTGGAGAAATTGGGGCCGACCCAGGTTTTGTGCGTCCCAGGCCGGGCCTGAGGCCAGCTCATCCTGCCTCGGCTGCTTTGGCCCAGGGACAGCACACCAATTACCCCGTGCTCTTTCCAAGAACTCACGCTCCCCTTTCTTGCTCTGAGTCTGGCGGCTGGCATGGGTTTACGACTGACCCATCGAGTGCCTACACCTGCTCACAGAATCATGGGGTGCTGGGTCTCACCGAACATTCTGGGATAATTGTCTGGCGAGGTCCTTCCTCACAGTGGGGCTCTGCGCATGCTTTGCCTGGGCTCATTCGAGGGCTTGTGCGTGAGCTGTAATCCTCAGAGTGTCTCCTTGGGTTCTGGCCAGCTCTCCTCAAATTCTGAGTTCTCCCATGGGTCCCATGATGGGTAGTCCAGTTCTGAAGGGGGTTAGCTGCTCAGTGGTGGCCCAGGCCTGGGATCGTCACCATGGGCATATATAATGAAAGATCTAGTGGTGGGGGTGGCTCTCCCTTGGTGGCTTCTGGACCCCCAGGTTCTGGGTTAGCCAGAGACCCTTCCAACTCTGACAAAGTCTGATAGTAGATAGATGTTGGTGCACTTGTGTAAGCTGAGTTGGGGTCACACAAGGCTGGGAGGAGAGTGGTTCTACAGGGCTAGCCTTCTTTTATGGGCTATGTTCATAGGGTCTCGTCATTCATTCATCCATTTGAGTCAGAAAATGTTGAACATACAATGGGCTAGCTGTGACCTGGGCCTTGAGGCTTCATGTGAGCAAGGCAGACATGATCGTGCCCTCATGGAAAAGAAGCACACTTATAAAAGGGTCAACAACAAAATGTCGCCCTAGTGGTAAGTGCTGTAAAGAAGGAAATAAGGTGATGGGTAGAGAGAGGCTGAAGATGAGCGCCTATGACAAGAGGGGCCTGGGAGTCTTTGTGAGAAGGGGCTATGTGAGTTGAGACCTGCCAACTGTACCTTTGCACATTCTAGACCATTGTTCCCACCACCCCCCCCTCCCCGGCCCCCCGCCAGCTGAGGCTTCAGCAAAGGCACCTGAAGTCCAATTCCTTAAAAAAGATTTGTTGACTGAAAAAAAAAGTTCTTTAACATAATTAAAGCATTCCATATCCAAACCTAAGTTGAAAACTCCCTATATTCATCATTTGACAAATTGAGCTCTTACTTACCCAGCGTGAATGAGGGTGGGGGATGGTCTTCAACCTGCTGCCCCTCACCCAACCTGATTTGCAGTCTCGCTGTATTGCACATTCAGCCTCCCCTCCCTCCTGCTGAATTGGCGTCAGCTCATCAGCAGCAACCTGAAAATAGCCTGTCTTTCTGGATTCATGTCTTCTGAGAAGGCCAACTGGGCAGCTTTGGAAGTGGGCCAGCCATGTTGCCTTTGGACTTTCCAAACTTCCCCAGAGCTGTTGGGTGGAATTCTGAGCACTCCCAAGTGGCCTCAGGGTCATGATCTGTGTTTGCTTAGGAGAGGAGCCAGCACAGCTGGATGGAGCTTGAAGGTAGAGAAGGGGCTTCAGACAGGGCCCTGGGGGCTGTTAGAGTCCCTGCCTGGGATCTTCCAGGCACCAGTCCTGCTCTAGCAACTTCTGCACACTAGACCTACTCCTCCCCGCTGGTCAGTGGTTGCCATGAACACTGGGGTTGGCCATTCTTGTCTACTAGGGCGTCTTACGTGCCAAGGACAGGGACTGGGGTACAGTGGGAACTCGGCAGGGTTGGTGAATGAAAGCAAAGCTCTCCAGGAGATATTAGTCCTTTCTGACCCATCTC